TTTTTAATCTGTTTAGGTACAAGAAGTATCATAAGCGCTGTCTTGGTGAGCGCAAGAAACTTGGAATTGGATGCAGTGAGGTTCATACAGCTTCCTATCATCTGATTCACATTTCGTTTTATTACTCCTAAATTGTGCAATTCCTAGGAAGTGTCGTGGACTTGTGGTACATGGTAAAGCTATAAAACTAATTATTGGATTCACACAAGTGCACTACACGTCTACGGTAAATATGAATTTGATTTTATTTGAGTGCTAAGGAAAAAAGCCATCGATATTAAAAGTTCAATGGCACTTCTCAATTTTATCAATATTCTGTAATCTATTTTTCAGTTCTCGTTTATGCGACTTTAACATGAAAGAGAAAAGTTTATCGACTCCATTCATGAGGTTACATATGTTAGTTCAACTTGTTTTTTGCCTTTGTAGCAAATAGTACTCCCTTCGTCCGGAATTGAACCTCCCATGTTGACTTGGCACGTATATTTAGGAGACTTGAAAAAGATGGACTTTCCAATAATACCCTTCTCCATTATTCCTAGTTTCTATCCCAGCCACCAAGAATGGCCGGACTGATTTCTCAAATGTCTAGGAATTGGTTTCCTCCTCCCAGAATGAGCTCGATCACCATCAGCATAGTTACCAGAATATAAGCCTTCTCCATCTTCAAATTGCGGCCGTCTTGCGAATGAAAAACTTGAAAAAAGTAAAGGAAGTCTTTGGAAGCACAAATTAAGAACGGGACAGAGGATGAAGTAATAAGGCTAAAAAAAACTAAAAATCATCATGATTGTTCATTCTTACTTGAATCAATGAGCAAATATAAAAAAAGAATTTTTGTAAGAAAAAAATTGGACGGACAGGAGGCAAGAGACGAAGATCGATCTGAAACTAGAAGCTGTCGAGTGGGACTTCTGATGCAATGCATCCATGTTGTCAGAGAAGCACCCGCCATTATTTTAAAAAGAAGTTGACGGGGAAAGAAATGTAGATTTAAGGTTGATAGAGTTGGGGTGGGAGAAAGGATAGAGAAAAATGGAAGTCCAAGGGTAAACAAGTCATTTACTTTAAAAAGTATATGCCAAATAAGGAAGTGGGAAGTTCAATTCCGGACAGATAAACAAAGAAAGTGAGAAGTTCAATTCCGGACAGAGGGAGTACTCTGTATTATCAGAATTTATTTACAAGGAAAAATGGACTTGAACTCCCACTGCCATTTAAGCTTTTTATGTACTTTCTGTAACCACATTTTTGTTATGATAAGAGTACAACGAATGACAAAACCGTTAAATACTATTCCTGATTTTCTTATTTTCTTCTCTGCCCATGTGAAGCATACATCTATAATTGTATACTTATATGTATTGTGTATTTTAAATTTTAAGATTTCTGCTTTAGTTTCTATACATGATTGCTTTGTTTTTTTCAAAGCAGGAAATGAATACATTATACAGGTTTTGGTCATATTTCCTAAGGAATATGTTTGTACGTTCTATGTATAATGAATTTCGGAAGTTGGCACAAGAAGATGCTGCTGTTAATTACAACTATGGAATGGAGTGTCTTTTTAGGTTCTATAGGTACGATTGCTGATTAGCCTGTCCATGGTCATTTTATATGCTGCATTTATCTTTTCTGTATGTGGTTAAAACAACCTTGTTTATTTGGATAATACACTTTTTATTTTCGAAAGAATTTGTGAATATGTTGAGACCACTTATTATCAAATCTCTATTTCTTTTCTCGTTGCAGTTATGGCTTGGAAAAGGACTTCAGGGAGGATGTTTATGAGGACTTCGAAAAGCTGTCCCTCGACTTCTACAATAGAGGCAACCTCTACGGCCTTGAAAAATATTGGTAATTGCTTTAATGTCTGAAATTTATTAGGTGTTTTTTCCCTCCAACATGCTTTTTCCATAGGAGTATGCTTTGAAGCATGGATACTACACTTTAGCAGATGTGTATGTATTGTGCTTTTGTCGAGTACTGAACTGTTATCCATTCAATTAAAAAAATACTCCATCCATCCCAAAAACAATTTCCTACTTTGAAAAGTGTGGTTGCAAAAGTTTTAGAAGAGATGTTGTCATGTGATCCACGCATTCCTTTAAAATGAAATGGGAAGGCAAACAGTTTATTTTAGGACAAATGTAAAGGGAAAGCGAGAATATATTTGGGGTAGTCGGGTAGACAGAAGGAAAGTTTTTTATTGAGATGGAAGGAGTTTATTCTGGGTTTTTGTTTCTTTACACATTCAAGGGCGTAATCATATTCCATATGTACCTGCTCCAGGTAATTTTTGCCGAAATGAATCTCCCATGTTTCTTACTTCCTCCGACCCCAAATGAAGTTTCTTGTTTTCAATTTTTTGATGTCTCAAAATAAAGCCGCTTTTCATATTAATAAAGGTTAAAACCTTCACCGCCCTCATTAAATATCTTTTCCTATTTATGTTCATTACACTAAACCACATATCATAAGAGGGCAACTTGGAAGACAAAAATTAAACATATGCACATTTAAAACTATGCAAATCAAAGTAGGAACTTTTATAAGGGAGTAAAGGGACAGATGGAGTTAGTAGTAGTTGTCAAGTGAATTCTTTTAAAGGTAGCATGCATGAGTTCAATGGGAAAACAAGGACACAATGGGTTGACTCCTGAACAAAATAACACTGAGCTGGTCTCTTAAAGCTAAAAAGTGTGCTAAACCTCCTCTAGTTACTCTGCAGTTATCCAATTGTTCATGTTGACATTGCTTGACAAAGCTCCTCGCCATGGAACACCATCCACGCTGAATGATTCAGCATTATATTTTCCCACAAGAATGATTCAACAATGCTTCTTCATTGTTCACATTAAATGAAAACCATCCACCTTATCTACGAGATTCTTTCTACAGTGATCCTTCATCTACAGTAACTGTCTATCACCATCACTGTGAGTGTCCACTCCATTCATTTTGCCAGTGAGCCTCCAGCCAATGAAGCCTTTGTCGCCATCATAGATCTCCTTAATTCTGACAATCTACAGAATTCTTTTTGATTTCCCATCCCATTCTTGCCCTGCATCTGGAGAGTTGCTGAACCAATAGTGTTGGCAGGATCACATGGAAGACTACACTGAACATTGGTGCCGGTGTGTACATGTTGGCGGTGTCTGGCTCTTTCCAGAAAGTAACACCCCATATCCTAGTATTGAGAATATGATAAATGTAAGAGGTATCACCACCATCCCCCCGTCTTGACCGCCACCTTGCATCACCTTAACCGGCTGAGTTCTTTAGTTGCCGCAATTTCCAAACTCAGAATTGGTGGGAGGTGAAAATGGAATTGGATTTCTGTGAAGCTCCAGAAATTGAAACCCTTCAAAATTTGTAGTTTTTTTGGCATTTGTTTGTGTTTTGTTTATCTATTCAGCACTACAATAATGAAAAGGGATATGATGTGAGAGACGCATCAGCTGAATAGACCAATTAATCCCATTTCTGCAAAGGGTACTTAGTAACCTGCAAGAAACATGCAATGATTTTGTTTCCCCATATACTTTTTGGCGTTATATTGGTTAATTGTGTATTTTCTTTGTTTGGGATATAGAACCCTTTTTTACTGTTCCCCCCAGCTAATCTGATTTATTTTGCTACTACTACTACTACATCTGCATTTTACAGCCGCTGCTAGAGTGCATAATTAGTTTACAATAATGTTGTTGGCGCAGGGCATTCCACCATTATCGTGAAGCACGAGGTCAGAAAGCTGGACCGCTGAAGAAAAATCCAGAATTGGATAGATTGTTGAGAGAAGAATATCGTAGTCTAGACGATTTCAAGCATGCCAAAGAGAAGAATGGCGCCACATTAGAGTAAGCACAAAAAGAAAGCATTTCTTAGCTGTAGGACTGACCAATGGCCAAAACTAAGAAAAGGTGGTGGGTAATGCTACTAACAGTTTATGCAAGCGAGCAAAAGCTGCCAGCATTGCTGATTTTTGTACATATAGTGTATTTTTGGGTTTGAATCACCCTCTGCGGTTTTTTAGGGCAACACACGAAAGAGTTTTGTATTCAGAAGAGGCTTTGGTTGCATGTTGGTGTGCCCCTTCATGGTTTTTCCTCCATAACTTCTCAGCCAACTCTAGATTAGAGGCACCCATTTCCTCTCTTCTTTTTCCCAGCATGTATATAGCAAATAATCCAGAAGAAAAAAAAGTCTGACTTATGGTGTTTTTTTTGTTTTGCTTTTGCACATAAGCTCACAACTGTTTGATGTCGAGTCTTTGTTATGTAGCCACACTAGTCAAAAAGGGTTCCTAGCTAGCTATTGATGTTTTTTAAGATATAATGTGGCGTGACTCAGTGGCGGATCCAGAAAATGAAATGACAGGGGGCAATAAGGCGGGGCTTGGGAGCAACACTCGATTTTTTGTGTGTGAAAGTTAATGTAAAATGCCATAAATACAGTTTGATGGTGTAAATTATCAACCGATATATTATTTTTAGCCAGACAAACAATAAACTAGTCTAAAAAATACACCAAAATATAAAAACAAGAATTTTGACGTGGAAATCTAAATCGTGAGAAAATCATGGATCTTTTTTGGAAGTACCTTGCTAACGGGGAATTTTTATTAATATCAGGGGTGTGTACACGGTACATGAAATGGGCTTGAAAGCCATAAATGGAAGCTTGAAAGCTTATTGAAGAACAAAATTTATGAATATCTAGAGAGAGAGTGAGTGATTGAGATGTGCATGAGAAAGTGAGTGAATTGGCCTCTCATTTAATGAAGGAGAGCCCTCCTTTTATAGGAGTAGCAGAAGCATCTACGGAAGAATATTCTCTTATTCTTCTATTTTATTAAATATGCTCGATTTGGTTGTTTTTCGTAAATAATTGGGAAATGTGGGTCGAACCACGTGCTATTTCCCATCACAGTTAAATTGCATTTCAATATTATGAATTGCTACGCATAATTTATAACCTACTAAATAAATAATGTTAAATTTAGATACTCCCTCCGTCCCGTTTTAAATCACCCGTTTTAACTTTTGGGCATATTTAAGGAAAATTAAAAATATAGTTGATTTTTCAAATTGTCAATACTTTTTAGGAGGGATGATGATGAATGAGAATATAATATGGAGAAGATTGACTTATTTTAGAGGTAGTTTAGGTATTTTATTTTTAAAAGTTTACGAAAACAACTAACAGACAACTTATTTTGGGACAGAGAAAAAAGGCAAACAGACAATTTAAAATGGGACGGAGGTAGTATTATACATGACTAGACTACCAAAAATAATTTTCAATTAAAGATTTAAAAAATTTTTATCCTTCTTTTTTATGTTGTAAGTGAGGATTTGGAAAAATAAATGGGGGCATTTCATTTTTTTTAGTGGGGGCATAAATGATATAAATGATATTTTTAAAAAATTTGGTTATTTATTTATAAAAAAATTAAAAGTCATTGGGGGCAAGTGCCGTCATTAATCACCAAGTAGATCCGCCCATGTGGCGTGTAGTTTCACTTTTGTATCCCATTTTGTACTCCAAAGAGATGCATTGACATTTTGTGTTAGTGTGATGCTAGTGTGATAGTTTACATTGATAACAAATGTCAGTGCAATTTTTTTAGATGAATTAATATTTTGTGCAAGTGTGAATTGTTAAAATGTCAGTCTATTTCTTTGTGGTATAGCTTGGGGTACATTTTTTGGTGTACCCCTAGCATGGTTGATTCCAATCAAAATAGTTTTATCTTTAAAAATGTTGAGTAAATGGGAAGCATGAGAAGGACAATGAGTATTTTCAATGATGCTAATGTCTCACATCGGCTCTGTTCTTTTGGGTTAAAATTTTAGATTTGAATGTTGAAAAATTAGAAGAAGCTGGAAAAAATTGGAAGGAGTTGGGAAATGTTGGAAAAATGTAACTATTAATAGCTCACTCAATTAAATGATCACACAAATAAGTATGTAGAAAAATTTTAGGTTTGGATAAAAAAATTCGACATTATTTGTGTTTGAGGTGATATGTTATATAGTTCTATATATAATGTTATTGTATATTCATTGCATATAACTATATTTTTAAGTCGTTGGGAGTTCGAAGAAACTGAAAGAATTTAAATAAATTGGAAGAAATTGAATGTTAATTTTATCCAAAATTTCAAAATAAATTGAATATATGTGAACTGAAAATAAGTTGGAAAGAATGAAATCTAAGTAACAAGATATGCTCACTATCATAAGACGTAGTAATATACTCCCTATGTTCACGAGGGTGTGATCCATCATGATGTTTTTAATACTCTTGTCCTATAAAAAAGTTTCTATTTGTTCACTTTTAGGTTGGGCGGTGTGGGTTGAGGATAGGCTCCGTGATGGCCTATGTGGCGGCCATGTCCGTGCGTGATGGGGAGGGAACACCTCTCCTCCCACTCCCTCCTGACCGTGATGGTGGTGATGACCTTCATGCATTCTTCCCCCTCCCCTTCTAGTTATTGCATCTAGTTTTTTTCTTTTTTTTCTTTTGGTTTTTCTACTCCGTGTTAATTAAGCCCGCTTTCTCCACTCGCATTCTACTAGTTTTCTAAATTTTCATTTTTTTCTTTGGTTCTCTTACTCCGATTAAGTTGAAGCTCTTTTCATGAGTACCAGTGCGCATGTGGTTCAGATTCTTACGTAACAATAACAAAACAACGAATCGCGTGAACCACATAGAAGAAGAGCGCCAGGCAGAGATCGAATCGGTATCCCTTGATATTTTTCATCTCACATTACAAATTAATTGTATTATTTTATAATATTTTTTTAAATTTTATCAAATTAATGCATAGGTGGCCATGACCGATTAGCTGTGAATTATTTTTCTAAAATGCACTCTTCATCGACGAATAATTAAGGAGGAGATTCCGCACAAGCCGCTGTCTTTTTTTACGTATTACGAGCAACTTGGCAGGTGCAACTCATTTTTTACGTTGCAATATCATTCCCGACGGAAAGTTAGGTTTACAACGTTACAAAAGTGGATTGCAGTGCTGCGACAATTTGCATAGACACAATAGCAGATTCACTCGATGAGTATCTGCGCATGTCTGGTGGAATGGTACGGGAATGCATGTAGAGTTGTTGGAAATGTGCAATTATGTTATACAACAAAGAGTATTTGCGCAAACCCACATCGAAAGACGTGCAAGTGTTGTACGCCGCCCACCAAGCCCGACATGGATTTCTCAGCATGTTAGGCAACATTGATTGTATGCACTGGGCATAACATACTTGTCTCAACGCATGGCGAGGACAATATACACGACCACCCCACAGTGATGCTTGTGCTAATAGCCTCTCATGATCTTTGGAATTGGCATGCCTTTTTGGGGTGGCCAGTTTGAACAATGATTGAAAGTTTTGTGATAGTCTAATATTTTCAACATAATAGTATATGGTATTGGACTGAACACTTTTTTTTTACTATTTCTGGGGTGGAGTACATGCATGGATATTGTTTTGCCTACGACATCTATTTAGAGTATACAACAATAGTCAAAACTATACCGTTCTATGAAAACATCAAAAGAAAAAAATTTGCCAAATACTAGGAATCAACATCAAAATATATGGTGCTCAAGCAGAAAAGACACATTTTCCAAAAGCTAGCGTGAGCTTTCACACCAAAAGATTACGAATTGTTATGTATGCTTGCTGCATTTTACATAACATGATTATCGAAGACAAAGGATGCAATATGTGAATATGACCCGAATGATCACAATAATATCGTTGAACCAGTTGATGTAGCAGCACAAGATCTCAACAGGTTAGATTACAAAACACGCATACGTACTACAACCTCTATGCGGATTTGGTTCAGCGTTTGTGGAATTTCGCTACTCCACTTCTAGGCGATGAATATTTTTTTGATAATTGTACTTTTATTCTGCCTTTTTTATATCATCAATGAAATTTTAATTTTATGTTAATGAATTATTTATTTAATGTTTTTATTTTAAGTAAATTTTGAATTAAATTTTTTTTAAAAGAAAACACTTGGGCATGATGGACGTGATGCACACTCATGTCCAATGATGGGCTGCAATGGAAAAGGGAAAAAATTATGTGGCGCTGAGTGACAAGATGTGATATGCGTGATGAGCAACACCACACCTACCAGCCTTAGAAAGAAATTTATGGTTTTTATAATTTCTCTTTTCAATCATAATTTTGTTTTTTTTAATTTCTATATCAAGTCCAATGTGGAATCCTTTTTCGGGACGGGAAAAATACTGACTTGTCCTCATGCCAATTCTTGACTCATTGAAAACAAATTAATATGAATTGGGTGCAATGCATTATATATAATTGGTCGACAAGTTTTTATTACTCTTAACATCCCAATAAAGTTTTACTCCTAACGGATTAAATCATTTTTTGTTTTATATGAGTATATTTTAAAAAAATCATCCAAAATATGAGTGAAATCTAATCTCTATTTCTAAAAGTAAAATTTATACTAAATAGTACTAACATATGTTATTTCCCAATATAATACTTAAAAATTTTTGTTCTCTAAATAATATTTGAATAATGTTTAGTGGCGAGAATAACACACAGTGGTGTTGGATATTTATTTGAACAATGACCAGTGGTATTACGTTGGGAAATAAAAATATATGGTACTACATTGGAAAAGTCACTATGTTTTAATATTATTTAGGTAAATTTCTCTTTCTAAAATACGAGTAACATTTTTTTTATCGCAAAAAAATCATCTAAAGTAAGTCCTATACTTGAATAAACATTTTTTGCTCTATTTTAATCATTCTCCCTTTAAAATTTTAAATATATAAATTGTATTTTTTAATTATATGGTCAAATAAACTAAATAAAAAATACATTTAATCGTATATAGTCAATCACACGTTAAACTTTATTCTGGATGAAGTGAGTATGTTAGGAATAGCTAGGAATGTAAATATCTTCTCATATTTGTTTCCATGTATACTTATTCCCTTTCCTTGTTTATTCTGTTTCATAGTATAACTAGAGTTCCCAACCTGTGGATTCTTCCTATATATACCACTTTGTTGTTCTCTTGCTTTGATAGAGAAATATACATAAATATTTCCCCAAGATATTCTCTCAAAACCTAACATGGTATCAAAGCCTTGAAATTTTTTTTTATCTTGTTTGGCCGATGTGTTCTATTCCATCCCCCACCATTTGTCATCTTT